AATATAACCGGACCCCATGAAAAGCAGCATAAAACCATCTGTAGCTTAAAGGGTGCCAAGCATCAGCAGATCTTGTGATAGCAAACTTAAAAACTTAAACTACAATACTATATCTACCTTACTTTACATATAATTAACATAAAACTTGCAACACTACATATTCATCTACCTCAACAGTACAACATGTAGGTAGTTTTACAAGGGCAACATAAGTGTAAAAATTACATCCAAAGAAGTATAATTACCATCTGCTAGCATAAAAAAGACACTTGTAACTCCTCTGAACACTGGTCCTGTGATGGCGGTGGAAGAAACTTATCCAAGGGATCAACTTTGTCTATAGCTGACTCAGAAATAGCGTTGTTTGCCTCAGGTTGTTATGGTTCTACATCGGGTGATTCCGGTGTTCCCTGAACAGCCGCTGGAGATGTTTTTCCTTGAAAATCAACTGAAAACAAATAGCAAATTGGAAAGAATGCGCTTTCAAGAGTAACATTTGAAGTTAAATTTATCATAAGAAAAAGCAAATAAGTAGTTAAGTACCATTAGCAATCTGATGCTCTAAACCAAACATAAGATCATCATTGCTTCCTAATTCTCCTTCCTGCACTTAAAAATAAAAAATCAATATAACCACAAGTCATTAAACAAGATTTTTTTTCTTTTCAAAAAAGACCCTGCCTTGGGGGAGCAGCGTAGAGAGTTACCTCGTGCTCCGACGAGACGACAACTTCATCGTGGCCGTAATCAACAATGTTAAGCTTTCCTCGGCCACTACTTTTCGAAGAAACTAGTCGTTGATATTGAGAAGTGGAGGTTTGGTGCGGAAACGGCAACATATTATCGTCAGTTGTCGAATCTTCTTCCATTCTGTTTGATTCTCCGTGGTCATTTTCTTCCAGAGGCGGTTTGATCATGTAATTCTTCATCTTGTTGGCAGTGGTCTTCTTCGGTGTCTTCCATATCTTCGTCATCCTCGTCGTTGTACATGGACAACAAGCAATTCCTTCGGATTATTTCTTCCTCGGCGCCATGGAATCTAGGATTCCGAAGGGATTTTCAACTAAACTGTGGAGGACAGTGGAATTAAAAGCGTAAAGGATTACGGAACTGAATAGAGCTGTAAATGAAAGATACATGAATGATCGGAGATGGATTTGAATTTTTAACGAGTCAAAATCAACTGTATAATATAAAAAGGGTAAAGTATAGTAATGGCCACTGAACTTTTCTAAAGCTTTCATTTAGGTCACCAACTTTTAAAACTTGCAATACAGTCCCCCAACATTTAGTCCGTTTGCAATATGGTCCCCCAACATTTAGTCCGTTTGTAATATGGTCACTGACGTAACTGTTGGGGACCATATTGCAAATGGACTAAATGTTGGGGGATTGTATTACAAGTTTTAAAAGTTGGGGGACCTAAATGAAAGCTTTAGAAAAGTTCAGTGACCATTACTATACTTTACCCATATATATTAAGATATGATTTGAAATAAAATTAAGATAAAATATTAAAAGGAATTCCTTTATTTTATGATAAAAAACATAAATTTTCATATGTTTAAATCTAAAAGTTAGAAGAGATAAAGATATAATATGACTAATATTTCAATTTTAAAAGATCTAAAATATTAAACCACTTTATTTAACTAGTATTGGTAGATTATTTTTAAAAGAATAAATTATACTAATTACTAAATATTTATTTAGTTTTCATTAGAATTATTGTTGTCCATCGTTAGTTGATATGATACTTTTATGTCGTCATTTTATTGTTGTAAAATAGAAATAATAATTTCAATTAGAATTAAACCAAAGATTTTTAGGAAGAATGCAAAACACCTAGCTACTAGATTAAACACAAAAAAAACTTAGTATGACATTTGATAAATAAAAGCATTTGAATTAAATTGTAATTAAAATTAATTTCATTCAATTTAGGAGAATATATTAATTATATGTATTGATTTTTTTATTAATATATGATAAATACAAGATAATATCTATTCAAAGATAATTCTCAACTATTTGACATTGAACACTCACACCCCTAACATACTTGATACTCTTGTCTGAAACCTCAAAGAATAACAACAATTTATTTATCACTGAGATTGTAACACCCCAACCCGTATCCGACCGGACCCGAATCCAATGTGTCACATTGACTTTTCAAATTGTTTTCTTTTACAAAATAACTAAAAATTCAATTTGACATTTACAAAACCTATCAGGGCATACTTGATCCAAATCTTTAATTACATGACAACTACTTTCAATAAAACAAAATACATATGATTCAAGTCTTTTCTGATCTGATCTTTAGAAAGGAGAAATTGACCTGACTCGCCTATCTTCGATCCCTTTTCATCTTCTCGGAACCTATGTGTGAAACACTCACACGCTAAGTCATTGACTTAGTGAAGCATAATAAAACATATAATGTAAACTCTAACTTATAACAATGCATGAACAATTAATACTATCATATCATACAAAAGTATACATTCTTTCATATAACAAATACCCATATACACATATATCATCATCTACATTCTTAGCATTATCATTAACCCCTTTTATCTTATAATCTCATCCTTAACACTTATACATATCATATAATATCATTTTACCAAGCAAATACATAACATCACATGGAATTTACTCAAGTTATATGTTTTAATAGCCCATGTACACTTGTGAGAACTAAGATATGTTAGTACATTGAGGTTGTGCACTTATGCTGTCACCACAACTCGTATAAATTCCCACTAGGGGCATATAGAATTTTTCCTGAAGGACTGCGTATAAATGTCTCGAAAAACCACATAGATGTCTCGAAAGACCACATAGATGTCTCGAAGGACCACTCCTTAAGGATCACATATATATTCCAAAGGACCAAATATGTGTTCCGAAAAACCGCATATATGTTCCAAAGGATTACATATATATCCCGAAGGACCACGTAGAACTCTAGACTCTTGGCATGCTAACTATATCTCTAGCTCTCATATCACATAACATGAGCATTTATCATTTATGTTTGTCACATGACTTATATCTTATGATCATATAATTACATAGCTTATATTATATTCTCATATTATCACATAATCATGTATTTACATAAATCATATAACACATATAAGAACATATCAACACATATAATCATGCATACATAAAAATCATGGCAATTACATGCTTGATTCATGACTTCATGCACTATAATTATGGGAAATAGACTTATCACAAGTCCAATTTCCATATAATCCTATATCAAAATAAGATGCACTCACTAGTCAATACTGATCTCTTATTTCTTTCTCGATGACTATTACTTGGTCAACTTGCTCGGACTTTGCTCTCGATCGTTATCTACACGAATATACAATCCAATAAATATCGCGATTCGAATTACTAGAAAAGATTCTTACTAATATAAACTAAACATAGCACTGATTCCTTAATTCCAACTTAGGTAGTATCGGTACTACAAGCACAGTACCGATACCTCTATACTTGTAGTATCGATACCCATTTTGAATTCTGTAATTTCATTGCAAGAAATGGTACTGATACCTCCCCATTGGTATCGATACCAATGGTACCGATAGTATCACTTCAGTATCGATACCCCATGAATATTTATCCCACTTTTGCCTTATGGTATCAATATTGTTCATGCAATATCGATACCCTACGCATAATTATCACATATTTTACCTTGTAGTATCGGTACTTACTCGATCGGTACCGATACTACTAGCCCAAAATATGTTTCACTAACCCGAAAAATATCATCACTTTGCCTAAACTCCACTTACCACTCCCTTCATTCCATTAAACTCAATTGCATATACTTAAACCATCTTTTATCACTATAACACCTCGTCATCTTTAATATCTCGACATAATTCTTGAAACTAAAAATCTTATCAAATTTTCAACATGTTCTTAATTCACTTATATTACTTCTAACTTCTTAATTAGACAATTGACAACTCATATTAAACTTCAAAATCCCTTTACTCCTTCTATTTCAATAATTCACTCAAAAACTTATTTTACTTAATCTCTCATAACTTGTAAATCTTTGAGTTTTAATCCAATTTAAGCTTCCCTTAAGCTTTCTTATCACTCTAAGGATCAAAAGAAACTTTAAAATGAAAGAAATAGCTAACTTGAGACCAACTTACATTATTCATGGTTACACAGGAAGAGAAGAAGAAGATAGCTGAACTCATTCTCCAGATTTTTCTTTCCCTTTTTCCTCCTCATCTCCACGTGTTAATATCCTTTATAAAGGAAAGATAAAAAACCTTCCTTTGAAAAGACCAATTTACCCTTACTTCATTCAATATTTACTAAATCATCATTCACAAAATATTCCCAATTAAGCCCCTGAACTTTTCAATTTTTCAAAATCAAACCTCAAAGTTTCAAAACTTACATTTTAGTCACTAGCCCTGATTTTGAAATATTGCAAAGATCGCTTGATTCGTGCATTATATGTATTAATCTAAATATTATCTTTTGTAAAAAATATAATAAGTTCCCTGTTTACCTTAATGGTCAAGTGGGTCAATTTTTTAATCGAATTCAAACTCAAATAACTTAAAATCGAACATAAAGATCAAGTTTATTTTTTAGTAAATAAACACACTATCAAATACCAAAGTTCAAACTAAAGTTGGCAAAGTTGAAATCAAGCCTGCCCCCAAGTGACAAAAGAACATACCATTTATTATAATTGAAATGCATTTTAATGATTTTAAATTCAGAATTATACAAAGATACATTATATTAAGCCTTGAATGTAATAAGATAACTATAGTTGTAGGTGAAAAAATTTTACAAGATGAAATAATTGATGGAAAAACTAATGTACGTCAAAACGAGATTTTATGAGCTCTGTAATGTCAATACTATTCCGAAAACAACGTTAAATCGGTTGGCAGCCGTATGGTATCTTGGTAAAGTGCCGAACCACTTTTACAGACCGGTGTTTTATTTGGATCGAAGAATGTGGAGGTATATGCATGCATTGTATGGATCAAAATCCGGGTAAAACCGAGAGATCTGCCACACCATTCGGAAGGACTGCAATTTTCTTAAGTAAGCACAGCCTGTTCTTTCTGATTCTTTCATCCTCCTGCACGCCATGCCAGCGAAAATCACTTTAAGCTCAGATGGAGGCTTATGCATGAACTTGTACCAATCGAATATGGGGAAAACAATTTCAAACAAGCTCTACTCTCTGCTTTGTTTACGAACGTAAATAATCTGATCTTAATCAAGAGATAACAGGCTCATACACCTGTTTATCTTAAAAGCTTGTATCGATCGACTTAACTCGAGCTTATAAGCTATGTCAGGTACATGGAATGGTATTATAAACAAGCAGATTGATAAACTATGCGAATAAGATGTGAAGACAACGTACCACCATCACAAATACTTCATTGAAAAAATCTTCCAAGGGTTGTATTAGCTCTGAAGATATTTCAATGAAATCATCAACCTCAATACCTGTGCATATACAGAAGACATTAAGATAGCCGGGTTAGTTGGGAAAATATGTTATTCGATCGACTTAAATCGGAGTGCCGTTTTTTGCTAAAAAAGACGGTAACTCAACAGCACTCGCAGGCTGGTAATAAACTGAGAACATACCAGGGTGAATGTTGTTCTTAACCGACAAGAAAGCGCCCCATAGAGCTCTCTCTTCATTTGTTTCAAATACAGCATCATCCACCTAATTAATATGATTATATGCCGTCAGATTCAGGAGTTTGCAACTGATGCATCTTAACAGCATTCAAGGTTTAATACATAGTTCATGATCAAATAGAAGGACAAGAACTAATCCCACATCGATTGATCAAAGCTCGAATGTTAGTTATTGGGTATTTTGTTACTATCCAAGGGAGTAATAGTACCTCAGCATCCACCTCCTTTCCGCAAACGATTATAGTTGGACGAGAATATGCTTCTACGAACTTGGGGAAAAGATCGCCTTTCGACAAGGCTTCCAACTGCAGTCATTTTTTTATATGCTATCAGCAAATATTTGAGGATACTGAAAATGGATGAGAAACAGTAAAGCAACAAAAAGGGAAAGTGGTTTTATCTTTTATCAAACATGACAACCTCCTCGGAACAGAACATGCAGCAGTTAAGTAAACGAAAGAAAAATATAAAATTACGCATAGAAACAGAAGCTTAGTACATGAGACTCCGGCATAAAGTATTCCAAACACACAAAATCAGTCACTGCAGACAAGCATTTAAGTGCAGGAACACGGTAATCTATTTTCTTTACAGCGAAGATACATCTTTTTGGAGTCAAAAACAATGTAAACTCAAGTCATGTACAAAGATATGCAATGAGAATAGCCTACCAAGGATATCACCAATATTATCCCCCTAAACAAACACATGCCTTTTCTGACCATTAAAACTTTCATTATTGAGGCAATCCAATTTTAGTATTAAAATAAACATTTCTAGGGTGCACTCAGTCAGTTAAAACACCAAGATTTCTACCACGGCTCAGTGTTGGTATCAGATGTGAATTGATTATCGCGGGACATCATTTCAGACAAACTAGCAATCAGGTTCGCTTACTTTATGTGCAGTTTCAGCAGCCAGACAAGGCATGTTTGCACGCTCTGCAAGGGCGGAGCGAACCACTTCTGGACTTATTCCCTTGTCAACCTGTAGCAATATAATACAGCTTATCTCCATAAATTTTCCAATTTCACTAAGAGTTGGCATAACCTCCACTAGCATATTATTATCTTGTTCCAGTCTTAGATCGGAGATTGTCCAAATCGGTTGTAATTAAAATTCATATTTATATGATTGGAACTTGGAAGTAATAAATCAAGAAATCATTTTAATTTTTAAGATTAAGAACTAATAATTAGCATACATATTTAAGCACCAAATACAACACAACCTAATGATGAAATAAATTGGCTAACTAAACACCATCCATACATTTCCATTCACAGTATTGTTAAAAGCATTTTTAAAAATGAAGAGATCTTCAATGAAAGAAGATTATGCATACCAGATATTTCTCTAAACTTCGTGTAACAAATTGATATACCTGAAACAGAAAAGGAAAAGGGACTAAATCCCACATCATAAATTGAAGTTTATGACTATCACATGGTACATTTAGAGTTATGTAGAATCACATCAATGGAATTGGCATCACTACAGTGGAAGTAAACATGACATTATATAGTGGCACAAAAAGAATTTGTTCCTTACATCCTCTATTGTGGTTTCTTCCACTTTAATTGGCTGAATATCAGCAGCAAGTTCCAAAGCATGTTTTAAATCCATTTTCCACCAATATCTGGACCTGCATTTAACAAGTTTAACATTATAATAATCGAGTATATTCTGCCTTAAAAGAGTTTAAGTGTTAAGTGATCATATACTTACTAGGCCATAAGAGATTCTTCTTAGGCAAAACGGGTCACTAGTTGAGCTAGGCTGACAACCAGCAGCAAATAAGCCAACAAGGCTATCTAATCTGGAGAAAACCAAAAATATCTATTCAACTTAGAAGCAGAATTTTACTCCATATAAAAGAGTAAAGCAGAAAGAACAGCAACAGTTTGATACGAAATCATATATATGATATAAGAATTTGGACTTCGTAACTTATCAATATCAATGGAAGATGAGAGAGACAAAGGAATACTGGAAAGGGATGAGAGGGCCTATTGGCCTTTAATAACAAGGACACCTTTTTTTGTAAGATTCAGGCATATTGCATCGAGCCATTTTATCCCTATTATATTTGGAGATTGTTTTATGTTAAAAATATATAGTCGTTCTAGGCAGTAAGGTAAGATGCAGTGATTTTAAGCTCTTTTTCATTTTCGTGAAATTTAGAAAGAGCAAACTTAAAAATCAAGGAACTTGTATATTTTACTAAGGTCAAAGGCTATACTTCGTTAATAAGTGCAGTTGGAATGACTCTCGTCATAAGAGCAGCCACTTCACTATTTGCTCAAGTTCCATTAATTTGTTTTAGCTTTTCTTTAGACCTTGAAAAGATTTAACAAAATTACAGACAACTTCCCTTGAATATTCCAACTTCCATGGCTAAAGTAAGGACTGTGGGAAGGAGTAAGGACGTCAATTAGGTTTTAGTTTTGCTCAATGAATAAATGACATACATAAACATCGAGAGAGGTTTTACACTTTTGCTTTACATATTTTCCTTTCTCCAGAAGTCAATACCTCTCCTCCATAAAGCGGCTAGCAAATGGAAGAAGTTTAAGCTTAAAGTTATTAATTAATCCCACCTCTGTCTATTCATATTTATAATAGAGAAAGTGCACCATCATGGTATCTGCCTTCACTAAGTCAATTAGCTATGTTCTTATATGCATGCACAAGAAACAATGAGCCGAAAAAGGGGTAACAAACTCATGAATAAAACTTTACCGATCAGCTATTGCAAGAATTATTCCCACGTCAGTTTTTGGAAGCATGTCTCCAGAAAACCTAGGAAGTGTGATTTCTAACAAGGCTTCAGCAATCTATTACAACAAAAGTATAAAAAAGTCAGATGTTTGGTAAAATCCACTACAGGAACAGAACATACAGAAGTCGAGAAGTATCCGTCTATGAGATATTTCATACAAGCATAAAACAAGATGGGAAGAAACAACCTCCTCTGAATAGCCATCTCTAATTGCATAATGACGGGCCATTATACCAGAGAGTGAAGTAAATTCTGTGAAAACAGCAGTAGCAAGATCTGACATGGCAAGTGATGCAGCCTCCTTAATAATCAGAAGCATGTCTTCTTCAACTCTGAAGTCCACGATTAGTTTGCAAACCATGCTTTCAACTCGCATCATCTTGTCCAGCAGTGTCCCTAACTTCTATCATTTCATTTTGTCAAAGAATAAAGGCTGTTATACTTTTAACCTTTTTGTACATTGTAACCCTAGTCTTATCCTTAGAGAGAGAAAGACACACAGACATCTAAGATGCAGGATGCATCAATTCATTAGGGATAATATCGTTTATTGCTTCCAAATCATTTTATTTATTGATATCAATGTCCAGATGTTTGTTCACCGTTACATCTTATAGAGTACTAATACCATCCAACCTTTGCCTTTTTAATGTTAAATTAGGAGAAAATGAGAATCTGAGTTCAAAATTGATGAAAAAAACTGTACACATCACTGGAAAATTCAAGCAACAAGATCATCTTTCAAAAGATACATCAAAAATAAAATAACTTGGAAAAGAATACCCTTCAGTTGAGTACGGAAATCCTTAAATCTTTTTTTTTTGTATCCAGCTCATAGAAAAATTTGGCATCTTCATATCGAGCTCTGAAAAAGAATTAAGTGAAAATTTTGCTCACTGTTTAGATTGTATTACAGATCAATGAAGATGTAAAGGAAAACTTTGCCAACGAAAAGGCAAGCTCCAGGTAATAAGACAGCAACGAAGAAGATGGTGATTGATCAGGCATCTTAGGTTAAAACATCCTTTCTTCCAAATATGAACTCTTAATGGAAGAACTTAAATAAGGATCATGTTTACATTTTATTCCCTTCTCTATGAACAAGAAGTAACGATTTAGTTAAACCTGAGAACAGCTTCATTTCCTTTTCTCACCACCACCTCGTTGATCGCTCCATTTGCAACCTAAAAGATATAGTTTAGAGGAGATAAAAATTAGGAAGAAAAGAAACCTGGTAGGACTATAACTTGTAATCCATAGCCTATAAAAACAGGTTGTGTTTTCTGTTTTTTTAATGAGAAATTTTATTAGAATTTTTTTTCTTCTCTCAATTTCTCATATGGTGTCACACACAAATTTAGCCAGACCAGTCAGACAAGGGACTTCTCAACAACTTACCATAGTTAAGAGATCGACTGGAAGCTCTAAGAAAGACTCTTTAAACTTTCCAAGCACTGGAACAGGTGCCTCAACAAGATTTACAACCTGGAACATTAAAATAATGTAAGAACAAGTCTCTTTGCAAGAGAACTCACCAAAGAGAGCTAACTCCAAGAGTTACCTCATTGAACAAGCTTTCCTGAAAGACAATGTTTCCCTTGACACTTTTTGCTAATAAATGTGAGCGCTCCAAAATTGTTTTCTTTCTATCCTGTCAATATACATTCAGTTCACCTTTAAAGTCTATGAAGAAAGAAAAGAGAAGTTTACAAAATCATAGATTATCCTGATAAACAGAAAATAGGAAAAAGGAACTCCTGAAAACAAAGTGCCTCAAATTACTTCATTGTACCTCAATGTCAATATCAATTCCAGCACTCTTCATTATACTAGCATAAGATTCTGCACTTTTTACCTGTAGAAAGTACTTCACAGCTGAAATGAATACACGCTTAAAAATTAAGTGACACAAGCACCATGTAATGTTTTTGTTGGAATTCCTAAGATTAAAGATAGATTACTTACCTTAGTCCTAGGAGTTACCTTGTAAAATAGGATCTAATCATAGACACTGATTCTTAGGGAGTCATTGATTTTTAGGGATTGTTTCCTTATTTGTTCTTAGTCCTCTCTATTTTTTTTATAGGAATAGAAGGCCTTATTAAAAACCTTCCTCATAGTTGCCTCTAGTAAAGAGACAAATAACGGAAGGAGAAAAATAGTACCTTAATATATTAATAACCCATAATTACATAAGATTACCAACTATTACATAAAATTACCTAACATAGAAACATAACCAAAATAAAACACCATAACCACTACTTAAAAAAACAAACTCCTCACTCTCTAACCAATTCCTGACTTAGCTAGACAATCAGCTTCCACATTAATACATCTACTGATATGCTTAATAATAATATTAGACTGCACAACTGTCTTTTGAATTTCTGAGATCAAATCAACAAGGTGAACCGGACAAATTTCCGGACTATTGATCCACTTCACAACAAGGAACGAGTCACTTTCCAAAAGCAGAATACCTTTATCCCTCCAAACTGACTCAAAAAACATTGCTAACCCCACTTTAATAGCAAAAATCTCAACAATAATAGGAGAACTAGGTCCTAATTCTCTAGAGAAGGAAACCAGCTTGTTCTTGTCAGCATCTTTAAGAACTCCACCAACACCACTTCTTCTCCAATCGAAGTTAACAACCCTATCAACATTCATCTTAAAATAACCTGTAGGAGGATGACACCATTTTAATCTTGACAATCGAAAGTTGGAGGGGGACTTATGCAAATCCGCCAAAGAAAGACCTCCCACAAGGTTGTCCACTTGGATAAACACATCCTTGTTTTTAGCTAAAAACCATGACGCCGCCCTATACCTTACCAAGAAAAACAAATTAGCTTTATCGAACCTGCCTTTCTCGAAAATAATATGGTTCCTACACAACCAGACAGACCACAAAACAGCTCCTGGAATAAATCTCCAAATACTCGAGTTAGGTCTTAAATGCACTCATGAAAGTAAGAAGCCCTTCGAATTATTAGGAAGAAATGAGATAATTTTCCACAGACAGAGGATTTTGACCCAAATCTGCCAAACTTGGACGCACGAAAAAAAATAAATAACTGACCGATTCTGGTTCTACTCCACAGAACACACATAGAGGGGAATCGATATTTTTGACTCCCTTACTCATTAAAATAGTTTTGACAACCAGCTTCTGATGAATAATTTTTCAAAGGAAAATCTCCACTTTTGGTTGAACTAAACCCCTCCATACAATCTCCAACCATGAATTATCTGAGTCTGATAAACTTGACACTAATCTAGAGCAAGATTGAACCGAGAACACTCCATCCCTACTACCTTTCCACGCCAAACGATCTCCGCCCTTCAACAGAGGTTAAAAATTATCCAACAATACCATCATTTCCATCCAAAGTTCAAACTCACTATCCATTAAGTTCTTCCTAAGTTGTAAATCCCACACCCACTTCCCATTAGACATACACCCAAAATCAGCCACAACCCCTTCCTTGTTAACTGACAGTCTTGGAAACATAGTCTTCAAAGAATAGTTAAAAATCCAAGAATCATGCCAAAATCTATTTGAATATCCTTTTCCCACTTGAAGCACAAGATTATTCTAAAAGCATAACCCAAAAGAATCATTAGTCCGAAAGTTATTAACAACACCTTTCCAAATCCAAGACACATTAGAGGGCAGATTATCATCTAGAACAATAGAACTCATCCCCACATTATACTTGGAACATATCATTGTTTTCCACCAAGAATCCTTCTCTGAACCAAACTTCCATACCCATTTGCCCAATAAAGCTCTATTTCTTAGCTTAAGATCCGAAATTCCCAATCCCCCCAGCTCTTTATTTTTGCAAACAGTATTCCAATTAACCCAATCAAACCTCTTCTTCTCAGCCGAAGAACCCCACAAAAAGTTGGCCATAATAGATTCCAGTTTCTTCCTCACAACCACTGGCAATTTGAAGAGTGACATATAATAATTAGGGAATGCATTCAGGACAAATTTTATCAAAACTGTCCTACCTGCTATGGATAGAGTAGATAATTTCCAGCTTGCCAATTTCTGATAGAATTTATTCACAATCGGATCCCATAATTGAATAGAATTTCTCTTTGCTCCCAATGATAATGCCAAATATTCTGTCGGAAAGGAGTCTCTTAAGCAACCAATAGATTCCGCCACTCCCCAACAATCCGATCTTGTAAATTGATACAAAAAATTATGCTCTTCACTAAATTCAGCTGTAGCCTGTGCACATCTCAAAAACAACCAGAACCCTCTTCAGATTTGCCAATTGTCCTTTAGATGCTTTGGAAAAAATAATCAAGTCATCTGCAAATTGTAAGTGAGTCAGCATCGAAGAAGCATTATCAGAACCTATTTGAAAACCCTCGAACAGCCCCAACCCTATTGCTTTAGACAACAACAGATTCAAAAATTCGCCCACTAGATTAAATAGGAGCGGGGATAAAGAACACCCTTGTCTCAGCCCCCTAGATGTTTTAAAACTTTTAGTAGGAGAACCATTAACAAGAACTAAAATAGAAGTTAAACTTAAGCAATTATAAATCCACGACCTCCATCTTTTCTAAACCCCATACACTCCATAATTTGAATTAAAAAATTCCAATCAATAGTGTCATAAGCCCTCTTAAAATCCACTTTAAAGACGAGACCTTCCATTCCTTTCCTCCTCCAAAAATCAATGGCTTCATTAGCAATTAAGGAGCAGTCACAAATCTGTCTTCCCCCGAGATGAAAGCAAACTGAGATTGACCAATTAGCCCTCTTATGCACAGCCTTAGCCTTCTAGACAGAACTTTAGACAGTATTTTGTAAAGACCCCCTACCAAACTAATTGGTTTGTAATCCTCAATACCAACCAGATTCTGCTTTTTCGGAATTAAAGTATTGAAAGAATGATTGACACATTTCCCTAACTTCTTTCCATCATAAAAATCCTCGAAAAACTTATGGGTATCTCCTTTCAACACCGGCCAAAATTTCTTGAAAAATCCCATATTCAATCCATCCGGACCCGGAGGTTTGTTACTATCCGAAGACTCTATTGCCTCCCAAACTTCCCCCTCCGAAAAATTCTCCTCCAAATGTGCAACTTGATCGTCTGAGAGCCTATTGAAATTCAATTCGAGCTTCTCAACTTCAACCGTCGGAATGGCATTGTAAGGGTTCTTGAAATAATAAAAAACATCAGCTTTTATCTTCCTCGGCTCCTCAATCAAATTACCACTCACATCCAAAGAATTAAGAGCATTAATCCTCTCTCTATTTGTAGCACATTGATGAAAATATCTTGAATTCTGATCCCCATCCATAATCCACTGTGCCCTTGATTTTTGGAACCAAACTATTTATTCTTTTTTATATAATGATCATAATTCACTTTTTTATTTTGCAATATCCGCCATAGAAACGAATGAATTCCTTTGTTGTAGTTGAATTTCTTGATTCGAGATTAGCCTCTCTTTGTTGTCTATCAAGCTTTGTAGTTACATTCTGTTTTCATTAGACCAATTCTTGATTTCCATCTTTGTTTCTCTAAGTATCTGCTCAATGTTCAGCCCCTTCCTACTCTTAAGTTCAGAAATTTTCTTTTCCACTGCTTCCTTGAATCCCTCCTCCTCCATGATATAATTAAACAATCTGAAGGGTTTCAGACCCCAATTCAGCTTACTAGATTCCAAAACCACAACATTATGGTCTGAAATTGATTTAGGTAATAACAACTGAACAACATCCGGGAATAATCCTAAAAAGTTGCCCGAAACAAGAAACCTATCCAGCCCCACGAACGTAGGGTCTTCCCTATTATTACCCCAAGTGAAACTCCCTCCCACCAAAGGCAGATCCATCAGACTTGATTGAAACAGAAATTCCCTGAACCACGCAATTGAATTTTCATTCAGATATTTCCCCAACTTTTATTCTTGTGACAAATGAGCATTAAAATCTCCAACAACACATAATGGGCATCCCAATGTAGAAATAAAACAGGTTAACTCCTAAAAAAAAACCTCTTTATCAACTTCAACAGAAGGCCCGTAGACATTAATAAAACATCACACCTTTTGTTTGTCTTTTACTATACCCTTCAACGCTATAAACCTCGGAGAAATCTTCTCCAACTGAGGTAAAAACCAGTCCTCATCCCAAAGAGTAGCCAATCCCCCTGATGCTATCACTGCCAGAGACTCCACCAGCCCACCTAGATATTTACCCCCCAACTTTCTCCTCATACCTATATTAACCACCTCCAATTTCGTTTCTTACAGAAAAAAAACGACAATTTCTTATCTACAACTATCTTCCTCACTGCCCTAGCCTTTTCCTTCCTACCTAAACCCCTAATATTCCAAGTGACACAAGATACTCGATCCATAAAAAATAGTTAAAAACCTTCAACCAACTAAGGGTTAATACCCACCCTCTCCCTCCTAGCCGAATTGGACTCCGAAAACTTCTCAGCAAAATCCTTCATTCCCCCCTTAAAGTTAACACATAACATTTGACTAACCTGCCAAGTTAATTCCATTTCGTCTTTATCCATTGAAAATTCAACAGCTGAGAAACCCTTCTCCGATTCACCTCTCTTATTCTTCTTATTAGATATGCTATAAACTCTGTCACAAAAGATGGTAGCAGCACTATAAGACCGAACACGATTTGTTGGAGGGGAAGAAGAACACCTCTTTTAGGAACTTTACTAACTTGTACCCCATTAGATCTAAATTGAAATGCTACAAAATCCATCTCTGAACCCTCCAAAACAGTCTGCTGAGGATCTCCACATTCCCCCTATTATTAACTAACTCATCAGGCTTGTAACCACCCCTATTTGAATTTAGACTTCCCTAAACGGGCCCATTATCTTCTTCCCTACCCATAGTACCATTAAGCCCATTAACA